CCACATGCTGGTAGAAAAATGGTGCTGATAGACTTGCTCATGGAATTGACACAAACCTTCAATTTGAAAAAATTGCAATATCTGTGAAGCAAAACAAAGTGAAATTCAATAAAATGAGGAATGCTTGTACTTCATTTTTTCTATATAGTTTATATTCTTCTATGAATGAAAGTGTCATGTTGAAGCACATTAAGAAACTCAACAATACAAGGTTTCCCCCCCCCAACATATGTTCAAGAAAGAAAAATGCCAGGAGTAAAGCAAAAAGCTGAGGATGTGGACTGGCAGGCCATAGAAATAAGTTTCAAGCCAAATCTTGTTAATATCACAATGTCTAAATTTAAGAATAAAGTCCTATTAAAAGATGTGGTCTTCACTTAGGTATCAAAGTTTATAAATGTTATCCAAAGGACATAAAACTATAGAATGAAATGTGAAAGAAAAGCTGCCTATCAAAAACTATGTCTTAATCATGGTGTGTTAGATAGTTTTCAAAAAAAATGTCTGTAATAAAATTGCCCCCATGCTTATGTGGCTACATTTTCAACCTTTGCACCTGCCATTACTTTTCTTTTAATAATATTCCAATTCATTAGTACCCAAAGAGAAAAAGGAAAAATCATGAAGAGATAAAGATGACAAAGAATTCACCACTACTAAGGGAAAAAACAGTAGCAAGAATTGTAAAGTTACCAAGTATTTTTAGGTTCTGGGCCATTGAGTTCATGCTGGTTTATATTAGCAGTGATTTTTTTTTTTTTTTTGGTAACTTAGTGATGTGTAAGTTTTCAGTACTTTATTTTTCTTCTTCCTGATCTTGTATTATATCACAGGTAAGTAACATGCCATTTCCCCTTTTCCTTCACTGTGTTCTTTTCAATAGAGTCAAAGGTGTCACATCATAGTCAACCATTGATTTCCCCTGTGTCCTAGCTGCTGTAAAAACTGTCACTCAGCATTCCTGCTTTGTCCTTCTAGGGCAGTAACTGCTGGGCTCCTGCTGGGGAAGCCCTTAACGGGTGGTTTTAAGTAATCTCTTCTATAGAACTACAAACTAATTTAACTAAAAGTACTAAGGGCAGAAAACATAACAAAGAAGCCCTCACATTATCCAGAAACTTTTTACGTTAATCAGTCATCAAGCCTGTTAAAATGTATGTCATCCCTCAAAACCAGCAAAAATCATACACTGGTAGGAGATAAATCACCAACAATTGCTGGTTCTAATCCCTCTTACTTCTTGCCTCTTTGTCTTCAAATGAAATGTAACCAATAACTATAAGACCTTTTGGTTTTTAAGGAAAAAGAAATAATTACTAAATAAAGACACAGAGAAAAGAACCCACAAAATTTGAGCTATGTCATAGAACTCTAAATGTGAAGTCTGGCTGCCCCTCTGTATTATCAAAATAAAGAAGAATTTCCCAGATAATATAAAAAATACAGATTTTATGTTAAATAAGGAAAAATGCTACATATATACCAAACTACATTGGGAATGGACTTCTGCAGAATCTGATTTCTGATGAAGCAGCAGGCTCCTGTCCTTGCCACTGGCTTGCTTCAGGGCTGAGGCTGCATAATAACAAACTTCCTCTGGATTTTGGTACAAAGTGGACATATGGAATAAAGTATTTAACACATCCATACCACCTTTCATGTTTATAACTCAAAGAGCTTTATGAAATCCAATTAATTCATCGAGCTTCATAAGCTCTGGAAGACACACATAATTACATCTCCACATGTGGCTAACCACTGGCAGCAAGTGGTCAGATGAGAGGCTTAACGGAAAGCCAATTTTGAGTGTTCCCGTTTTGCACTTTTGTGCACCTACAGAAAACTGGGGGCACGATGATGAATCTCTGAGTCACTGGAAAATTTTAAGAATTTTGAGGCAGGTTAAGAATGCACACAGGAAGGGTGATCTCCTTGCCAACATGCAAAATAACTCTGGCTCTCTCTAGCTGGGGAAAGGGGGTTTTGATTCAATTGATAGAGGGATCCCTACCAACTCCATGCTTTGGTAGGAGGTAGAATCACTTGGTAGAAGTCTCTGTATGGCATAGCTGAAGAATTCTATAGAATTTATACTAAGAAAAAATAGTTTACATACTTTTGAGATACTAATTACAAACACTAAACTAGTGTTTACAGTGTATAAACAGTTCTCCAGATGAAGTGAAGCACGTGGGGACATTAGTAACCTTTTTTAGGCTGATATGCAGAAATCTAGATTGCTAGTTATGGTAAAGTACAATATCTTTGTAAATAAAGTAAATCATTTTCCAGAAGAAAACTACACTGCCAAAACCTTGTAAACAGAGGCACAAATAATGCAAGTTCTAAATGTTGGTTCTAGTCTATGGGTTTTTCCTCCATGAAGATAATACATGAAAATGCATTACAGATTGTGAAAAGATCTCAGGCATCACTTTTATCTAATATAAACTCATATTCTGGCTTTCTTGTGCAGCTGGTGATCTTGCACACATCATCTCACTTCTCTGGGCCTCAGTTTCCTTACATGTAAATCAGAATAATAATACCTTTTCTCATGGGGTTGTTGAGAATGGTAAATGAAACTGTATCTAGAAACTGTCCAATATGTTTTTAGTAAATCTTAGAGTTTAAATTTGAAAAATGATTTCTTCATTATTCCCCACAAGTCCAAAGCCCTTTGAATCCTTTTGGGTTTGAAAATAATATTTTTCTATGTGGAGATAATATTGGGCATCCTCCATTCCTAGATAACAGAGGCTTGCAATAAATATATGAGGGCATATAAAAAGGAGACCAAGGACCATTAGTCCTCATTCATTACAGTCTCTACTCCTGGAGCAAGAGTAGGAAGTCTCATTTTTAATTATTTCTAGAAATTTTTCTTCAGTGGGTAGAAAGTCTATGAAGTAAAGTTGAGCTCAAGTAAAGACCTTCAAAAACAATGTTGAATCTCTGACAGTAGGAAAGTGTGTTAGTAAATGGCAGATCTTTAGTACCAGGGTGAGATTTGAGATACTGAAGCAAATGACAAATGTTATCTTTAACAATATATAAACTTATAAAATACATAGTGCTTTTATATGCATTGACTTACTAACTCCTCACAATAGCTCTATGAATCTGATATCTGTATCTCCCATTTTACAGAATAGGCCAACAGTAGTTAAGTGACTAGATCAAATATCCGCTGATGAACAGCTTTGGAGAATATTATAGAGTGACATTATAGATAGTATATAACATGAATAAGTCATTTAATTCTTAAAACAACTACACATATGATTAAAACTATATAGGGTTATTCTAGAATGTAGAGTAGGTAAGATATACAGCTAGATAACAAAACAAACAGGAGAACCCTTCAGTCTCAGAATTCTACAATTCCAATATCTAGAACTAGCATCTGCTCTCAAGTGGACTTTGACTTTGAAACTCCAATATCTGAGGTAGTAGTATTAATGCTTCTTTCTAGTTAACTGATGCCAATCAATGACAAAACAGCTAGGCATCAAAGTCTTTTCTAGACTGAATTTATTGGTGCTTACTAATGCACCAGGCAAAATACTAAGTACGTAACATGATTCTGTCATTTAAGGTTCTTATAACGACTCCATAGGTTGAATACTGCTGTCTTTCATATGGAGAAACCAAAGCACACAGAACTGGAATAGCTTGCTGAAGTTTGCACAATTAGAAAAGGTGGCAATGAGATTCAAACCCAGTTCCAGGACGTGCTCCCCTAATCACTATGCCAGATGGTATTATATATAGTGCTATAACTCATTGTATAAAATATATTTTATAAATATGACAATGATAAAACTCTTAACAGAGGGGCACGCACATGTGAATCAACACTGGTGGCATGATTGACAAATTCTAAATTGACATTTTCACATAGTTTTATCTGAGACTAATACTGTATTTTTTCATTTAACTGAAGGCTTCATCTTTTGCAGCATTTAGAATTATTAGCACATGACATTTTAATAATAAACACATCAAATCAAAGCTGACATCATTGTAAAACATGTTAAAGTATTCTAAGCCTGGAATGAAAAAACATTTTTTGCTTTTTTTCTTTGAAGTCCACTGGCTTACAGCGGAAACAAAACTGGAATAACTTAATTTAGTCTTGACTCATCTCATTCTCAATTAGCAATATAAAGCATATGATTCACTTGTTGTAAAAATAATTTACAAATGAAAATGTGTCAAAATTTTATGCAGACTACTTAGTATATCATGTGATAATTTAGATTTTTACTATGGATAATTAAGAAAGGAAGTAGACAGAAAAAGAGAAAAACATTTTTGGGATATGAAGGAGAAACAGAAATATACAGATAACCCAAGGGAAGTACTGAGGGAAACACCAGTGAGCAAAGTACAAAAAATGTAAACATCTACACTACACAGACACCCTCAAAACGAGAAACTATAGCATAGCATGCAATTGGCATAAAATAAAATGATTAATAATGACAGAGTAAGCCTAAGGCATGGATTTTTATTATGTATATCCTCATTTTGTGACTTTCTAGCCTTTCAAAGTTGGGTTGTACTGTCAACACCCCCGGCATCGGGTATTGACATGTGATAATAGACCAGAGGAAATTAAAGAGAGGTTGGTTCATTTTCATTCAAAATCAATGTGATCAGGTCACCCTCATAAGTGATGAGGTAAATTACAAAGGTGTTGGAAATGATCAGTTAGAACCTCTTAATAAGTAATTGGTCTTGAAATTGGATACTAAACAGAATTATTACTTGTTAGTTTTGCAAATGTTCATTTTCACCACAGAAATATTTTGTAATTTGACCTTCACTGAGCACATGAATACACACTTTCAAGGTTAAATTCATATCATAAAGACACAAAAACTATATCTCTGTGTACTTTAAATCCATTCAAGAGCTTTCACTCTTCCACGTACATCAAAATGAGCTGCATTTGCCATAGCTGGTGTACACCAGACTTCTCGATGCCTCAGTACCTGCTGTCTCTCCAGACGCATCCTCTTGGCGGCATTTCTACTCTCACTCTCACAAGCTGAAGCCAAGATACTCTCTGCAACTGCTGAAGTAAGGTGGGAAGGAATAGGTCGAGACTAAAAGAAAAAAAGAGAAAAATATGAAGAAATTATTAACAGTATCATTAACAGGCTAGTGCTATTCTCAGAAGAGCTCTCAGGATCATCAACACGTGCAGGAGTATCCATTTATTTCAACTGAACTTATTTCAATAGAAAGAGAAAATGGAAATTGTAAAGATGAAAAATGAAAGCTAGTTAGAGGTTAAAGCTATCATTGCTAAACAGATCCATCATTCATTCCCATAGATCCATTTTCACAAGTATCTAGCCTGGGCCATGAAGCTGGAGTTTGAACAGGCAGTGGCAAAATTGCTGACTGGATTTTGCAAAAAAAAAAATAAGGTCTTTAATTCTATTATAACATATGACATGCACAAAAAAAACAAAACAAAAACAAGTGACAGGGCTGAAACAGAGTTAAACGAAACCTAACAGACACTCAGACCATGTCAAACGATCTTAATATGAAATATTATGAATATTTACACTCTACAGTGTGACCCAATTGATGTGATTAAAATGCTTTTAAATATAAATAACTAAAAACTAGAAAGTCAGTCCTAAAAAATTTTTGATATATTAAAGGTTTAATTCTTTAGATGTGAGATATGTTTGCCTATATGTATACGCATGTTTTGTTTTCTTTATAAAATATGAGTAATATTAATTTAATAGGCACGTGTTGAAATCCATCTTCTGTATAGCCCACATAGAAAGTAATTAATTCTCCAAGTAAACTCATAATTAACTATAAATTGTTTGCAGCTCTCAATATCATTTGTGATAATCATAACAAAAACTAAGATTTTCATTCTTTTTTCCATAATTACAGGCAAAGTCATCCAAATGAAAGATGAAATACTTAATGATATAGAACAGTTTCTTAAATTAAGATAAGCAAATGATAGATAATAACAAAATGAAACCAAATGAGATAGTAAAACAATGTGGAATTATGAAATAAATGTATCTTTTGGGAACAGAGCATATATAGTATATGCCACATTTGGGTTTTCAAAGCCTCAGTCTAAAATATGTGTGAATGCTATTTATTAGAAAACTGAACTAATTGAGACATTTTGAATTTTTTTCTAAACAAATTGAAACATGCTTTTTTTTTTTTACATGACTCATTTTACCAACTCTGGCATGTAAAATGTGTCTCAGCAAATTGAATACAGGGCCTACATCTCAAATAATACTCTAGATTCAGACCACATCCTTTTAGCAGACACTCACAGTTAAATTTGTATAGTGTAGACAGAGACCAGGCTCTGACCTTGGGTGAACTAGGAAGCAATTTCTGCAGCTGCCTTAGCAGATTTCCTCACTACTCCCCCTCTCAAGTATCCTCTAGAGGCAAAAGGTAGAACAGGTATAGGGTACATCCTCCTCTGCTAACCCCATAGGACATCTCAAATGATGGCTACATAACTTTGACAATAAAGCAGTAGAATATTTGTAATGCTATTTTTGCAAAAGAGAAGAGAAGAGGTCTGTTGGTGGCAGGAAAAAATGCAATATAAGCATTTTGAAAAGGAATTAGAAAGCCAGGACTGTGCATTTAGAACAGAAAAGAGGGTCAGATGAGGCAAGCCTAAAAGAAATTGCCATAAAGATGTAAGTATAATTTCAAAACTCATATTGCTTCGTCATTTCATTCTCTCCTTCAATAGGTATAAATAAAATATTGTCCAAAGCCAAATAAATTAAACTATAAAATCAGTCTCATTAAAAGATGATCACTGCCTGACTCAAAAATGTAATCTAAACTACATGGGAATTAGATACTCATTGATATCTTTCTTGATTAAGCTATTTTTTGAGGCAAAGGTGTATAGGAAAAATGAGAATAAGAATATTACATTATCAAAAAATAAAACAAATTATTTGATTATAGTTAGCTTTATTCAAATAGGAGAGACAGTTTATAAACTACATTATTAAATCATTTGTTTCCAGGGATGGAATCAAGAGAATCTAAATAAAATATCAACAACATTCCTTTTCCTAATCTTATTATTGATAGCCACAAGGGATTCAGAGAGACGTATTTCGGTTCATTACCTTTATTCTCCTCTCTTCTTTTTCAGCTATCACCATTCAAAATTAGGAATATATAAAGCTATGAATTTTACTAAATAATTACATTGTAACAATAGGCACACAAGTAACTTAAATGCATAAAATTTGTTTAATAGGGAGAACATAAGTAAAATATCCCTTCAATTAAAATTATTTCATAGGATTTCCTTCAAATTCTTTTTAATTTTTAAAAGCAACTTTTATTACTTAACTTCTACTAAAGCAGTAACAGTTGTTATGCATAAAAATTTATGTAATTTCCTTTTCAGAAAAGATGATGGGGAGAGTTGAATCTTCCCTAGATGTGTTATATTCGTCTTTTCAAAAACTAGAGTAATGTCCTGGCTAAGTAGAACTAAATACATTTTAAGTTCATGTGATAACTTAATTTTTAAAAATCAACTTCAAGATAAAGCAATCATGCATATTATCCTATTGAGTGGGAAAAAAAATAGAAGAAAAGATACTTGATTCAACACTGCCCGCAGATAAATAGCATAATTTAAAAAATAGATTTGTTCTGAGTTTATTGTAGGATCATAAGATGACAACTCTCAATGGTCATAGAAGTCATCTAATATAAGTTTCTTCCCTCAACTTTAAAGAAACTGAAACCTAGGTAGATCAAGTAATTGCAAAAGGACAAATTGAACTAGATTTATAACAGGTTTCGTGTCTCCCAATTTTCAGGTTTCGTGTCTCCCAAAATTCTGTTGTATACTTAGTACTTTTACATAATTTGTCATTAATAAAACAAAAAATTCTTTTAAAAAGCCTTATAAACAAACCATAGTTTTCAACTAAAAAATAAGCAGAACAAAGGTAGTCATTTACATGGATGTATTATAATCATCATTAACTCAAGCTCATTGGAGAAAAAGGCAGAATAAATCACAAAATCTGTATTACAGTCTAAAAATATATTTGAAATGTATTTTTTACAGAAATATACTACATCTCAATAATGTTGAGTATGGAAATACAGTACCATCCTAAAATAATTTTTAGATAAGAGTAATACCTAACTCTTATTGAGTGCTTAGGACATTCAGGTATTAATATCAAAAGCTTAGATTTATTATCAAATTTAATCTACTCAACAGTCTTTGAGAAAAGCACTTATATTACTCATTTTAGATAAAATACATAGACGTTCTGAGAGATTGTGTAACTTGCTCACAATTATGCAGCAATGTAGGTGGAAATATATGAATTCAAATCTAAGTCTGAGGATAAGTTGAGAGTTATGATCCCTAGTAAACTATCATTCATATTTTACAACTAAAAGGCCCCAGTGAGTTTAAATAAATCTATAATTCTTAAATACTACACATTCCTGCAAGGGAATTCAATCACAGCTAACTACACATTGCATTTAGCAAAGAATATATCAGGATCTCCCTAGCACCCTTCACTTAAAGTGGTTGATGTCCTTTAATATATTTTCCTATAAGTTCTATAAATTATGAAATTTACAATATTCATTAATAGCACAAAGACAAAAATGTAACTTATCTAAATTATGCCACAAATCCTTAACTGATACAGTCGGAGTTAATACAATTTTAATGTTAATACAGCCAGAAGTGTCAATAAATTACTATACATGAAACATAATCACACTTAATTTCATGCCTAAAATGAGAATACAGGAGCCAGGTGGAGAAGTTCTTTCTCTCCTGTGAGATAATCATGCTAAAAATCCTTTTGCTTTTAATATTAATGAGCCAATAATAAATGCCAATGCTCCCCAATACACACAGGGCTCAAGTGTGCAGTACTTGGTTATAAGATATTAAAGATGAAAGTTTAAAAAAATTCTCTATAATTTGGCTTCTATCCATTGAACAACTCAAAAGTACTAACATTAAGATAGTGAGAAGGAAATTAATCAATTTTCTCCTTATAAAAGTAATTATATACAGAGAAATTTAAAACTAGCGCTTAGTATGTGCTCTGAGAATCATCTTCATCTGAACTCTCCTTTCCCTCATTACATTTGAGGGTTGAGAGCTTATTCTAATGTAACCACAATATGGTCTTTCTAAAACATATTAGCAAGTGTGTTAGGGGATATAGTCATAGATTTCACCAGGAATGAGTGTTGAAGATTCCCTCTTACATTTGTAAGAGTGGGCATAAAACACAGAGCTTTCATGTAATAGTTAGAGGTAAGACTATTTTGATGCAAAAACCAAATGCATTGAATTCAATAGATAATTTATGAATAACAGCACCTCCTCTGGTTGAAGATAGCTCAGCAAATATATATATATATATATACTATTTGATCTCTCTCTCTCAGAAGATTTAAAGTAATAGTCTAAAATGGATATAATTATACAATTCACATGATCTATACCTGTATTGGGAATATTTATTACCTATTTATTTACCTGTATATAACATAATGGTACCTACCCACCTCTAATTATCTCTTCATAATTAACTGACATTCTAACTGGGATCTGAGTTGATCTTTCTCCAGCACTGCTCTTATTGTAATAATTATCTTCGCTCAAATCAGTGGCAGTTGTGTCATTACACAGATGGCTACATCAACACATGGAGCTTTTGGAGTTTAAAGAGTCACATTTTAATTGGGGATTTAAGATGAAATTGCTGTTGGCACGATGTAAATGTGTCTTTTCTTATATATGCCAGTAAAACTTACCATCATACCAACCAGCTATTTCATTTCGTGTGGTCTTAAAGCTATAAATGAAATAACTTTAGAGTCCTCTTAACTTCAGCTGTACATTTAGGATGCCACAGAATTTTTACAATTACAAAAAAGTAGAAAGAAATTTAAGAATTTAAGGTTATGTTCATGGGTAAACGTGGTAATGCTCTCCAGGCTCCTCAATTAAAGTAAAGCTTAATAAAGTATTAGATAAGGTCAGTTTGGGAGCAACTGTGACATCCATTCA